ACCTGCAGCGTCCCCTATTTCCCCCTCCCCCTCCCCCGCCCCACAGAAGGAATGCAAAACGTACCATTTTCCCTCGCCACAAGAGGGGTTCCTCAAATTACCCATATAATAATTAAGCCGCGAATTTCTTCAAAAATTACCATTAAAGGCAGACGTACCAGAACTATCTCATGTAGTGACTAAAAACCTCCGCCCCGCCCTCTCCGTCCCTTAGGTGCACCACACGATTACAGAGAGTTCCGAGTTACGCTCATAGAAACAAAGCCGTTCTATGCTCCAAAGAAGTGAAAATAAAGTACCTGGGGACTGTAACTGGCTGGACAGCATTGCTTTCTTCAGCGTCTACCGTAACCGACTGGACAACACTGCCCACACTCACATCTACCGTACCCGGCTGAACTACAGTAACCGGTCCGCCGACTTCGCTTTCTTTTGAGTCCATAGTACCTGGCTGGCCAGTACTGCACTCTTCACTTTCTGTCGTAACGGGCTCAGTCATCGTAACCAACTGGGCAGCGTCGCTCTCTTCAGCTTTCCCAGCGCTCATTGTAACCACCTGTACATCATCGCTTCCTTCATCATCCACCGTAATCGGCTGGGCTGTATTGCCCTCTTCGACATCTACCGTAGTTGAACGGGTTGCGTCGCCAGCTGGATCATCCACCGTAGCCAGCTGGCCGGGATCACCGTCTCCCGCATCCATAGCAACCGAATGGGCACCACTGCACTCCTCGCCACCTATCGTAAGTGACCGAAGAGCATCGCCCTCTTCGGAATCCATGATGATGCAGACTACATCCGAACCACAATGAGGTGCATAAACATCTGCAAAACAGCGATTCTGGATTATTAAACGAATGCGCACAGAGCGGTTAATATTCGTCGCACCTCAAACCAAGAAATTACATCAGAGGTGTGATTTATGGGAAAAGGTGCCTCAGCCAGGCCCGCTCTCCCCAATTCCCCTCACTCCCTCCCTCCTTATTTTTATGCATTTTGTGCTGTGTAACAGCTTTTTATGCATTTTGTGCTGTGTAATATTGTCACGAGGTTACCTCTGGGTGTATGTGTATGTGTGTGTGTGTGTGTGTGTGTGTGTGTGTGTCCGTGTGTGTGCCCGCGCAACTTGTCCGCAACTTTCAATTCGGGAACCACAAAAGCTAGGAAGCTGAAAATTTGGAGGAACGTCCCCACCCCGCAAATTTAAGTTCTGCGACTCCGCAAATTTAAGTTCAGCCTTCCCGTACCCACGGGTAACAGGTACGGCTTCGCAAAAGTTTGGGCGGATAAAGCTATTACCACAGGAGCCACGAAAGCTAGAAAGCTGAAATTTTGTTGGCATGTCCCCTGCCCACACGCGGCCCAGAAAATTTAAATTCAGCTTTCTCCTGCCCGCGGGTAACACGAACGGCCCCGTGAAAATTCTGGCGGGTAAATTATTACCTCGGGAACCGCGGGATCTACGTGGCTGAAATTTTAAGGCAATGATCTTCTGCCTACGTTTGACCTTGCCTATTCAAAATCAGCATTCCCTCGCTCTCGGGTATCACCTACGACCTCATGAAAATTTTCGCGGGTAAATTATCTCAAGAACCACGGAGTCTAGAATGCTGAAATTTTAGAGTACTGACCCCTCACGTATGACTCGCAAATTCAGCATTCCTGTGCTCTCGGGTATCACCTACCGTGAAAATTATGGCGAGGAAATTATTGTCTCGGGAACCATAAAAGCTAGGAAGCTGAAAATTTAGGGGAACGTCCCCTACCCAAGTGTGACCCCGCAAGTTTAAATTCAGCTTTCCCGTACCCGCGGGTAACACGTATGGCCCCGTGAAAGTTTTTCACGGGTAAATTATTGTCTCGGGAACCACGGAGTCTAGGAAGCTGAAATTTTAGGGTAATGACCCCCTGCCCAGCCTCGACCTTGTCTGTTTAAATTCAGCCTTCCTGCGCTCTTGAGTGTCACCTACGGCCTCGTGAAAATTTTGGCGGGTAACTATTAACTCGGGAATCACGGAAAGACATTCACCCTTCAAGGTTTCGAATTCAGCTTTCATACGCTGGTGCGTGAAATTTTTAACTTTTTTCCGATGTTTGAACAATTTTTGCATAGACTAAAGTACAAAGCAGCGAAAGTCATTAATAGGCAATTAATTGTTCGATGGGCTGAGTTGCACAAAACGCATGATCGCACCGGCTAGTCTGGTGCGCGTTGCTGTTTATTATCACAGGGACCGCGGAAGTTGGGGATCTGAAATTTTATGGTGATCTCCTCTACAAACGTACGACTTCGCATGTTTAGATTCAGCTTCACGCACCCCTGAGTATCCCAAATAGCCCCGTGAATGTTTTGATAGAGAAATTATTATCTTGTGTGCGTGAAATTTTTAGTGGGAAAATCCGCAACATAAGAACCAGACAACATTTTAACTATTTGTGCAAAGACCAAAGTACAAAGCG